ATGCTCCTTTTCTTTTATTATTGTCAGGTGGTTCACATCAAGATAAATAAGATTGTGGATTAGTAGATTGTGAACAATTTTGGCATCTCTTAAATGTTGTTATTTTTATTTGAAAGTAGTGGATTTATATTTCATACCAACTCTTATGTTAAACTTAATAATCTTCTAGAGGTAGTTTATAGTGAAACATTTATGGGCGGTGAGGCCAATATCTTTCACGTTCCTTTAGATCAACTCATGATCCGATTCTTGAAAAGGTATTTTTAATTATTTAGGTTATCATTGCACACTACGCCTGTTTTAGGTGCACCATGTGAGTATGAGGTGTCAGATAATACGTTAAGCAATTACCAAAATTTTAACAAAGTAAAATTAATGTTGTAGTCGAACCTTTTTTGTTTACTAGCAAAGAAGACATTTGGATTTTCAGAGTACATTTGGAGAGTTTCCCTTATGTAAGGCCACCCCATTTGTACCAGGAGGCAACTTTGCATTTTGTATGTCTGTAACGACCCGGCCAGTCGTTTCATGAGTTATAACCCTGTTTCCGCCATTTCTACTTCCTTGTGCTATTTCATCATATCGTGTTGGTAGTGTTGTGTTCGGAGTGGTCTTAGGGTGGAATGAGACACTTAGTCTCTTAAGTTGGTTATTTAGTTGGAAAAGTCAGCCGGAAGTTGACTTGTGGGTAAATGATCTCGAAATTTGGTTTTATGGTTCGGGTAGCTTCGTTAGGTGATTTGGGACTTAGGAGCGTGTTCGGAATGTAATTTTGAGGTCTGTGGTAGATTTAGGCTTGAATTGACGAAATTGAGAATTTGGCGTTTTTCGGTCGGCACTGGAAATCTTGATATTAGGGTCGGAATGGAATTCCAGAAATTAGAGTAGGTCTGTTGTGTTATTTGTGACGTGTGTGCAAAATTTCAGGTCATTCGGACGAGTTTTGATAGGTTTTTGCATCGTTTGCGGAATTCGGAAGTTTTGAAATGCTTAGGCTTGAATCCGAGGGTGATTTGATGTTTTGATGTTGTTTTGAGCGTTCCGAAGGTTGGAATAAGTTTGAATGGTGATATGTGACTTAATGGCATGTTTGTTTGAGGTCCCGAGGGCCACGGAGTGGAATTGGGTGGTTGATGGAAGGATTTGAACCAAGTTGATGCAGGAGATTTTAATGCTCCTGTCATAACCGCACCTGCAGATTGGGGACCGCAGGTGCGAGGTAGCAAGTGCGTGGTGGAGACCGCAGATGCGAAAGTTGGCCATCAGGAAAAGAACCGCAGGTGCGGTGTATTGGGCGCATCCGCGGGACCGCAGGTGCGGTGCTTGGGCGCAGATGCGGACCTGGGGACTTTAAGTGAAAACCGCATGTGCGGTTGATTTGACCGCAGAAGCGGTCCGCAAAAGCGTGAAAGGGAGCCGCATGTGCGGGATGCCTGGGCAGAAAGTATATAAAGGAACCCTTCACGAATTTTGGGTGTTCTTCACAATTTCAACTTGAATTTTGGAGCTTTTGGAGGGTTTTGAAGAGGGATTCAAGGGGAAACTCGTTGAGGTAATGTTTTTGAACCTAAAACTCGATTCTATGGTGATTTTTAGTTGATGCATGAAATTTGTGGGATTTAAGGGTAAAACTTGGGGGATTAGGGCTTGAAATTAGAGAGTTTAAATTGGGGAATTGAGGGGCCGTTTGAGCTCTGATTTTGATAATTTTGGTATGTATTGACTCGTGAGAGGATAAGGATTCTAGTGTTGTGATTTTTATCGGATTCCGAGACGTGGGCCCGGGGGTCGGGTTTGGCCAATTTTGGAAATTTTGATTAAATATGATAATTTTCGCGTGGGCTTTGTTCCTTTGGCATGATTGATGATATGATTCTGATTTTGGATAGAATCGGGGCGATTTGAGGCCGAGTCGAGATACAAGGGCGTTGCGGAGTAGATTTTCATCCGGTCCAAGGTAAGTAACTATTGTAAATCTAGACCTGAGGGTATGAAACCCCGGAATTTCATACTATTTTGATAAATGAGGTGACACACATGCTAGGTGACGGGCGTGTGGGCGTACACCCGTAGGGATTGTGACATATTTTGATAAACTCTATATGATATCTATGTGTTTTAGAAATGATTTTGTTAACTTGGGCTGAATGCCATGTTTGGGGCCTTATGCCGTACTATTTGGATCCTTAGGGGTATTTTACTATTATCCTCACATTGGTTTGATAGAAACCTTTATCCTCAGTCATGGTTTTATACCTGTTTATTTTTAAATCTTGTTCATCACTCCATTTTAATATTTATGAAAGTGTTTTGGGCTGAGTTCCCTGAGTTTGCACTGAGATGCCCCAGTGGCTTGTGAGGTTGATGAGTGAGTGAGACCGAGGGTCGGATTGTGAGTATAGTTATGGATTCGGCTGCACATTGCAGCGTTATATATATATATATATATATATATATATATATATATATATATATATATATATATATATATATATATATATATATATATATTTGTGTGTGTGTGTGTGTGTGTGTCTGTGGATCGGGCTGTATGCCGCAGCGATATAGCGCTTGGGCTGTAGGAGCCCCTCCGGAGTCTGCACACCCCTAGTGAGCGCAGTCGACTATATATTTATGGATCGGGCTGCACGCCGCAGCGGTTATTATGAGATATCTATTGAGCGTGAGTGCTAAGCATGAGAGATGATGGATGATAGTTGAGTCACGAGTGACTAAGAGGCTTGCCCAAGGGGCTATATATCTGAGTGATGCTTTGCCCGAAGGGCTTGTTTTATGAAAATACTGTTTTCACTCTTCTTATTACTGAGCCTCTGTTGAAAATTTTGAACAAATATTTTTACGACTTTTCATTGAAACTGGAGCTTTTACTACATGTTCAGAATTTAATTACTCATTTGATCTTGTCATTCCCACTAAGGTTTTTTTTATGTATCATATGTATATGATTTTAAATGCTCGTCACTGCACTCAGCCTTTATTTATAATTGTTACTTAATGAGTTGGCGTACTCACATTACTCCCTGCACCTTGTGTGCAAATCCAGGTGCCAGAGCATCCGAGTGAGAACTGCCTCTTGCCTTTAGATTATTCCGGAGATTGCAAGGTAGCTGCATGGCGTCCGCAGCCCTGCCTTTTCCTTCCTATCTTTTAGTATTTGTTTTTATCAGACTTATCTTGTATTGAGTAGACACTATCAGACTGTATTTTAGTGGCCATGACTAGTGACACCGGGATTGGGCAGTGTTGAATGTTTTTGGCATATTTATTTCTGCTTGTTTAAAATGTTTAAACGAAAGAATTGTTATAATATCTAATTAGTAAATGAATTAAGAAAAACACCTTTTATGTTTTAAATGTTGAATCGGCTGACCTAGTACTGCGATAGGCGCCATCACGACCGGGGGTAGTTTGGGGTCGTGACAAGTTGGTATCAGAGCCTAGGTTACATAGGTCTCTTGGGTCATGAGCCGGTTTAGTAGAGTCTCGCGGATCGGTACGGAGATGTCTGTACTTATCCTCGGGAGGTTGCAGAACCTTTAGGAAAAACATCACATTCTTGAAATTCCCATCGTGCGAGTCTGTTGATTCTAGTACTAAACTTATGCTATTCTATTCTCTCACAGATGGTACGTGCTATCGGACAGGACGAACGGCCACCAGTACCACCAGTTGGGGCCACTAGAGGCTGAGGTCGCGGTCGAGGCCGTGGTAGGGGCAGGGCTGTAGCCCGCACAACAGCTAGGGAAACACATGCAGATCCACCAGTCACCACAGTTCACAATCAGGTCCCAGTTGCGGATGCTCCAGCAGGACCAGCTCAGGCACCGACTGTGCCTATTGTTATTCCGGGCTTCAGGAGACCTTGGCTCAGATCTTAATCGTGTGCACTAGTCTTGCTCAGGCGGTTGCAGTTTCTACCACAGCCGCTACTTCTCAGGACGGGGGAGGCACTCAGACTCCCACCGCACGCACACCCGAGCAGGTTGTTTAGGGATTGCAGATGCCGAAGGCACCACTAGCCCAACCACTTGCACCTCTCAGGATTTTGTAGTACCAGTTATGCCTGAGGACGAGCAGTGCCGATTGGAGAGGTTTGGTAGACTTCAGCCTCCAACTTTCAGTGGTGCAGAGGCAATGATGCCCAAGGTTTCTTGGACAAGTGTCAGGGGATTCTTCGTACAGCGGGTATTCAGGAGACCAGTGGGGTCGCATTTACTACTTTTCAATTTTCTGGAGCTGCCTTCACTTGGTGGGAGGCTTATGAGAGGTGTAGGCCTGTTGGTGTAGCGCCCCTTGTCGCGCCCCCTTTTTCCTCGCGGAGTCCGGGTTTCGACATCTTGGGACAACCCGTTTCCTTTTGGGAAGGGGTATGGAATCTGAAGAGTCGCCACCTAACGAATTTACGGTGCGTTAGGGCACCTAAAGCAAATAACTCATAAACCGGTTTGTATTACCAGAGATTGGGTAAGGGCTCGAAATAACCTTAAGGGAAAGGTGTTAGGCACCCCTCGAGGTCCACAACGGTGGGTCCCGGCCAAACTCGAATTAGGTGAATTAGTCTTATAAGCGAATAAAGCAATTTAGACAAACAGTGATTATTTCTAAAACAAGAAGTAAAAGGGGTCCTAGGTTTTTTAGCCTATAGGATCACTTCTGTGCAACACTTGGTAATCGTCCCCAAGTTGGGGTGGTAAACATAGCATTAGCGCACAGGTCATCATTTCCTTTTACTATCCAATTACCCTTCCCCTTTTGTTTATTACCTAAGCATTCTAATAACATCCGATACGTGTCCTATGTGTGCATTACCCGTCCCTTGCCTGTGGCTCTGGAGGTGTTTAGGACCTCTATTTAAGAAAGTTCTAGACTCACTTATGTTGTTTTAAAAGGAGAAAACTAGTTATTTACAACAAATTGAGAGGGGAGTTTCAAAAGGTGGAATGGAGACGACTCATATGCAACAACCAAGGATCACCTAGATGGATTTCATACTGTATCTGGCTCTAAACAACAAACTGCTCACGCGAGACAGATTAGCACAATGGATGCAGATTGGGGACTTAAGGTGTATGCTTTGTAAAGCTATGCCGGAGACCATTGAACATCTATTCTTTGAATGCATAATATCAACTACTATATGGAAGAAGATTTTGCAGTGGCAAGGATTGGTGAGGCAACCGATGGCATGGCAAATAGAAAAGGAATGGGCAAAGAAACAGGGGAAAGGGAAATCTGCTGAAGCACAAATTTACAGGATGGCACTTGCAGCTACTATCTACGCTATATGGATAGAGAGGAATATGCGAATGTTCCAAGGAAAGAGCAAACCAACGATGAGTATAGTTAGGCACATCATCCAGGAGGTGCATTGTCGTAGTACCTCATGTGTTAGATTACGTCAGAAGATGTCTGAGTTGAATTTTTACCCTTAAATCTGTATATAACATAGCAAAGTGATAGGGATAGAAGTAATAGAGGAGATGAAGAAGCAGGTTTGGGGCCATCTGTCCAAACTGTGCTATAGTTTGTTTTGATCTGCTTGTATATATTTACTTGGTAAATAAAGAAATTTAATTACCAAAAAAAAAGGAGAAAACTAAGCGACAAACAAAAATCCAAATAGGACTATCACATAAAGATGCAATTAAGGGGATCACATTTACCTCCACAAATAAGCAAAACAAATGCACGCTTCAAACAAACAGTTTTTAAACGATTCAAAGTCCTATAGCAGGAGATCTAGATGAATACAAAATAAGAAGCAGTTTTATTAAGGCGGGGCAGTAAATACCTAATCAGTTTGCCTACTGATTTTATTACTTACTGAATCTGGGCAATTTATGAGCAGTCAAACAAACACAATTTTTTGCAATTTCAAGGTTTTAATTATCCTACAGGCTTGCCTAGGCAATAACCGGCAGGATACTATAGGCATGGTATCTAAACGTATTGTAAACTAGTGATTAGTTTAAATAGGCAGATTTCTTCGTTTAGACCCTATAGGCATGCTGTCTGTATGCTGAAAATGATCACAAGCATTACATAACTGATTTTACGTGTTTATCTCTATGAGCATGATAACTAAGTACGAAAATTAATTTTGAAACCTTATAGGCATGATATCTAAATGTAGAGATTAATTTTTGGAACCCTATAAGCATGGTATCTAGATGCAGAAATTAATTTGAAACCTTATAGGCATGGGATCTAAAAGCAAAAAAATGATTCTGAAGTTTCCTATTGACATGGTATCTAAATGCAAATAAATGGTTCTGAAATTTCCTATTGACATGGTGTCTAAACGCAAAAGTGGTTTAAAACTTTATAGGCGGGATTTTTAAAATGCAGAACTGATTTTGAAACTTTGTGGGCATGGTTCAAATGCAGCAGTGAATATTGACGGGATATTCATAACCATTTTGATCCTATAGGCATGTTATCTACCGTACATAGTAACAGAATGTAACTGAACAAGTAAATAACCTATAGGCAGGATATCTAACATATAGTAGTGAAAAATATTTGAAAGAAACAGGCACCTAAAGCAGGTTTTCTATCCCATTCTCATGCAAACATCAAACTAGGCCCAGTTTTCCCCAATTCACTATTGCCCCATTGTTATTACAAATAATTATTACAGACCATAAGCAAATGAATAGATTACAGAGTATATAACTATAGGAGGCCTGTAGTAGGCCCAATGTAGACGGATAACCCAGACCTTCAAACCATAACAGCTCCAAAGCTTAGAGATACACAGTAACCATTGGCAAAGCACCAAGAACCCAAATCTCTAGTGTGTCAGAGTTCCCAAGGGCTTCGAGAACCTAGGGCAGTGCTCACACTAGAGAACAAATGTTCAGAAGCAGTTCATAAAGGATTGGGAACTAGCCCCAATGTGTCAGAGTTAAGAGGAGTCTCATGGACCCTAAGCAATGCTCACATTGGGGTGGCCGGACCCTAGTCAACTGAGAGTAGGAGTTGAAAATAATGTATGAAAATAGGAGACAGTTTTGCTTCTTTTTTAAAAAAAATTGTTTGGATTTCAGAAGTGAGTAGAAACAGATTACCAGATTACAAGAACCACAAGCAGCACATATTTTGCAGAAGGAGTTTAGCAATGAACTCCAGCAATCCAACAACAGACAGGACAAAGTATCAATTAATTTGAACAAGGTTTCACATGGCCTTATTTGATACTAGGTGAACATATAGATGTATGTTACTCAAAGAACAGCATGCTGGGGTAAAATTACTGATCATACAATCATACATAAAGGTAGCAAAAGTTAAGAGCATAGAAGTCATGAATTAACCTGGAGTTTGTTAGGGGGTGAATACTTAAAACAGGACAGAAATCATGCTAGTTGAGAGACAAATAGACATTGGTTTAACAGACATGCTAAAAACAGGAAGCACCTAGGTCTAATTTCATAGAAGTAGACATGCTAGTTAAGATTCATGAACAGGAAGTACATAGGCTTAATCACATAGAGGTGGACATGCTGATGAAGAGTAATAAACATGAAGCACATAGGTTCAACTCACATAGAAGTAGACATGCTGATTAAGAGTAATAAACATGAAGCACATAGGTTCAATTCCATAGCATATTGAATGATAATAGGAATGGAGACATACCAGTAAAGGAATAGCAAACAGAAAGTAGAAAGTATGCAGAATCCAATAGTCTAGCCTTCGCTTTCAACCGGCTAGACAATGCAGCAAACACAAGTAACAGAAAGGATTGAGAGCAAGAGTTTGTGTGTGTGTGTGTCTCTTTCTCATTGTGTTCGTGTAAGTGTCTGAGTCTGTCTTGAAAATCAGAACAAGAAGGGCTTTTATAGTATGCAATAGGGTAGGTCACATAAAGTAATGAATCAATCGCACATACATAAGGTATGAAAAATCAATTAGCAATCAGTCAGGAATCAATTAAGAGGACAGAATCAAATAAGTACCACTTAATTTAAGGAAAAATCTCACAATGAATCAATACGTAATTAAGAGCAAGGTTAATAAGGTAAGAAATAGTTTCTGGAATCGATTAGGAATCAGGATACACAATCAAGCCAAAAATACGGATACATAGATAGGATGAGAACAAGTAAAACTTAAATAAGGAAATATGAATACTAAATTCAAACCCTAATTTAGATAAGTAAATCAATTAACAACTTAATTGACAGAGTTAAAGGTAACGGGAAAAAGACAACAAGATAAATAGTCAGAGAATCAAAACCCTAGGATATGTCAAAGACATATAGATGAAACTTAAAAAAAATCAGTCGAAATAGTAAAGGAGAAAACCATAATTGAAAGCATTTAAATGCCTGAGCATTTTACAGAAAACTCGTTAGAAATCAAAACCCTAGGGTAAAACAAAATCGGTTAACAATAAAAGTAAAAGCAGAAAAATCTTAAGGAATATACCAAACAAACTCAAAACCGTTTTAGATCTGAAGAGATCTAAACGGATTTAACAGAAATAGCTAGGTTTATAAACAGAGGTAGAAAATCTGGTTCGAACCAGAGATTTAAGACCACGAAAACACAAAAAATGATAGTACTCACAGACATAGGGTTGAATATGGGCGGATTAATCGAAAAGATGAGAGATTTGAACCAAATCTGGTTCGAATCCCTTGAGATCCCATTAAGTAACATGAAAATCGAACAACCAGAAGAGGTGAGAGGCTAGATAAGGCAATAAAGCAACAGATGACCCCATATCTGGTCAAGAATCGAAGAGGTCTGGGGGAGTTTTTGGGTGACGGCGCTCTAGGGTTTGAGAGCATTTGAGAGAGAATAAAAGAGGAGAGAATTCAGAGGCGGCGCAAATGAGAGAGTGAGTAGGGTTTAGGGGGCCGTTTGGGTTAAGAAAGGAAAGGGGTAACGTGGACCGTTGATCTTAGAGACCAACGGCCACGATTAGAGGAGGTTATAGGTCGGGTTAGAATAATTGGGTTATTGAGTTTGGGTTAGATTAGGGTATTGGGCTAGGGTACAATTGGGCTGAAGTGCAAAATTGGTCAAGGAAAAGGGCTATTATTTAAATACCTAATTAATTTAAATAACTTTATAAAATAATTTATAAATGATATAAATGCTATTTGTGCATGAAAATAATTTAAAATAATTACCTAAAATTATAAAAATATAAAAGTCATTTCTTGTATAAATCAGATAATTATGCATATATATGGGCTATTATTGCAAAATATGCAATTATAGTCTTAAAAATGCAAATGTAATTATAAAAAATACAATTAAAATATTTGAATATTTATATGGGCATAAATGATGAATTTAGATGATCAAATCATCATAAAGTAATATGAGGGATAATTACTATTGAAAAAATGCAGAATAAATTAATTTAAGGCCTTTAAAAATTATAGAAAAATTGTCAAAAATACTTGTGCACGTTTGTAAATGCATGTGAAATATTTTGAAAGAATGTATGCATATTTAAAAATATATGAGAAAAAAATTGGGTATCAACACCCCTTATCTGGCAGCAGTTCTCCCCTCTCTTTTTGGAGAAGTACGTGCCACAGTTTCGTAGGGAGGAGCTGCGCAGGCAGTTTGAGCAGTTGCGTCAAGATGATATGACTGTGACGTAGTATGTGTCACGACCTGAACCCGCGACGGGCACCCGGTACCTTACTCAACCGAGTACCAACGTAACATAACTTTCATATTATTACATCATAGGTAAATGAACCGTAGTAAAGCATGAGGGAACACAAACTTATACATAATAAGTACAGGCCTATAAGACCAAAATAACCACTCATATACTGAACATAGGCTGATAAAGTCGTACAATTTTTTTTACGTACATGACAGCTGTCTACAAACCTCTAAGATACATAATTTTCGTAAAGGTCAGGGCAGAGTCCCGCCATACCAAACAATACACATCTAAATAATACTAACCAAACAAGCAACTCCGAAGCAAATAGAGCGCACCAACATCTTTCGCTGAGCTGATAGCCTACTTGGAGGGCTCTCAACCTGTCTATCGGGACCTGCGGGCATGAAATACAGCGTTCCCAAGCAAAAGGGACGTCCGTACGAAAAATGTACCGAGTATGTAAAGCACATAAATAACTACACAACTGACATGGAGGAAATATAGAGTACATGACTCCACCTGTAAGTTTGGATAACTTTGTAAATTATGAAATAATTATAGTGTCATGCATATGTGTATGAATGTCATGTCGTGCATAGGTACATGTTTCATAACATCATCAGCCTCTGAGGGCATCCCATCATATCATCTCGGCCACTGTGGACAAAATCACGAACGTATACCAGCTGATCAGGTGGTGGTGCGTATATAACGCCATAACCTTTCTCATATCCCATATACATATATATATACATACATATATATGCGTATATAACGCCATCTGGTCATGGGTCAATGTACATGAATGCAATGCATGAAAAGTACGTTAATAAATTCTTTAGGAATGTCATAAGACCATTTTGCCTTTGAGTAATATCATAAAG